TTCATAGCCTGGTTTTTACATTATCCACAGGAACCGGACCACCTGATACACATCTTCCTTGCCCTGGCCAGCTCGACGGAAATAGACCTGGGTTTCGATCCCACCATCAAATATATATGCAATCACATAACACTCTCAGAGGGTCCATCTGTACCCAATAGTAGGAGTATCGAGACAGGTCCTGCTGAGAGCAGTCGGAAGGAAACCCAATCAAGCGGATATGTATTACCAGCAAAACAAAGGGTGTATCATATTCTGGTCAAAGCAGAAGAAGGAGTTGAACATACCTTTGAGACTGTCCGGCTACTCTCTAGCTACAGTGCAAAGGTCACACGTTCTCATGGAACTCGAGTTTGGGAAGTCTTTGATATCAACGACCCATCAAAAAGGCGACGAGTGTTAAAAGATACCTGGTACAAAAGAGACAAAACACCCGAACCTAAAATCTTGAGGGATATCCGCGCTCGTCTTCAAAACAAACCAGAAGACCTCGTTTACCTTCCCGAAGTTCTCATGCACGGGGCCGTTCATCTCCCAGATGGTACTGTGGATGACATTTTTGAATTGGCGCGGCGAAGAATGAACTGGGCTCATAAACGGCGGTGTACCATAGTTGTGGACCATAAAAAGTTCTCATTCTATTCCCGGGAACCACCTGCAGGGGCCAATGGCCGATCCGACTCTGGGTATCCCACGTACAGTACCAGAGGAACCGTCTGGGAGTCTGATCGCTGGGACACAAGGGACACACTCCGATGTCACTGGCGTGTCGTTTATGTCGACCCTCCCGGAGTCGTATTATGCAATATCAACCAACATGATGGGATGCTACTTGCTCTCAGTGGTGCTTTGAAAGGCTAGTAATCTGGTAGTTGCTTTGGCGTTCTCCATTTCCTTACTTTCTCTATAGCTCTACAGGCCATTTATTCAGTCGGGTATATACACCGACGTGTTTCTAGTACGAATATATTGTTGACAGAAGATGGGACCACGGGGGTATTGATAGATTTTGCATATGCGCAAAAATTCAGCGAGTTTGGCCAGTCTGGTATGGAGGACAAAGATCACCCAACTGTAAAGTAATATCGTGTTAGCCGGACATATGCTAATTTTAGCCCCAATAGGGAAAGTTTTTCAAGCCTTTGGAGGCCTGCATGCCTATCAATACTTTCCTTTTTGCTCCATACGAGTCGCCCAAGCCTTCTACAATGCCAGGAACCGATATCTACCCCAAGACGCCATGGTTTTATAACCCTATTCATGACCTTGAATCCATTTGGTGGATCACCATCTGGTTGACACTGTTCTACAGTGAAACCGGCACAGTAGACGAAGACATTTGGGAAAGTTATTGCTGTCTTTTTCTCCCGGGCAATAATGCTCAAGACCAGCGCCTTCTAAGCTTGCTCAGCAGCAATATATTCCAGAGCGTCTACCAACAACCGTTCTTTTATCCTCATTTGGCAAGCTTGCGGGAATGTCTAGTGCGTAGTTATACGACACTACAAGCCAATCTACAACCAGCCGAAGGCAGACCGATTTACCAAGAAGCTTTTAAACACTTTCTGGAGGTAATGCAGATGATGAGACGGTCTCTCGGCGAGCTTGGACGAATCAAGCTACAGCCGTTGTGTGAAGGTACTATTCCCCTTAATTCTCTATAGCAAATGTTTATAACTCTGAAATTGGCTATGATCAACTTGTTTGTACAGATGACAAGCGCCTCCATAGCCTCGATGAAAGCTTTCTTTTGCAGCTGATATGGAGAGGTAAGACCACTCTGTGGCTCCTGTAAAAATCTTCTGAGATAAAGAAGTAGTATAGTTCTTTGAGGAGAACTCAGTTGGCTCCTGAAGCAGGGTGGTCGCACCTTTCTGGTTGTAGCAATGCGTCCGTCGAAAGCGAGCATCGACAACATTATAATACAGCTGTTGAAAGATGTCAGGCCGACGTGAAATAGTAGGGGGATACTTTTGGATTGTTTGTTCGAGTCTGGTTGTGCTCCAATTCAAGAGCACTGCATGATCTGGTTCACTACGGCCCTTGGATGATTGGTTTTCGTCTGGCCAGTCTGCACTCGATAAGGTGCTCCCTAAGAGCACACATAATGACGGGGTGAGGAAATCATACGCAGGTAAGGGAACGATGTGTACAATGGACCGGTAAACTAGCAGCCAGGAGAAACATGGGTCCGAGGACAGGACTGGTTGCGCAGTATTTCCACCTCGCACTGTACTGGTGAATAACTGTTCCCTGAGTCCACGCGGAGAGTCATATGGAAACGCTTGTAGGATAGTGCTCAGTAATTCTGCGTGTATTGCATATTGCAGGCTGCCTTGCCCATCGCTGACTTGCTCTCGTGATCCTTCGGGAACTACGCTCTGTTTTTCGCCCAATGCAACCCTTTTTTTTCTCTTGTTCGGCAAAATGCCATGGGCTGGTTGGGCTGGTTGTTGCGGCTATGTGACCATAGTTGGGTCCAAGTTCCACTGACTCGGGTCGTTGTATATTTCGACTGTTCAGAGTCTGCCCTTCCACCTTGGATAGCCTAAGCAGAAAATAGAACCACGATGGAGTTACGGATCCACTATCGCGGTTTGTTCTGGACCGTCCTCGCCCGATCTCCTGACAGGCCACACGCGACTTTTCGGTCACGATGTATACGATTATTTTGATCACACAAGAAGATGTTCAGTTTCTGGGTTTGCAACCCTGGATGTTGCACATGAAGTATTGAATTACCAAAGCAATACAGATGCCGCGACCAGCTTAATACAAGCTACCAAAGAGTTATACGCGGGCGACATCCTTAACGGGAACTAAATAAAGAATAATACTGTATTGTGGTTGACCCGATGATGACAGCCTTAGCTCCTGGGAATCGATTGCCTCACTCCTACTCGTACTTCCTCCTAATGAACTCGTCCCATGCAGGGTCCAGTCCATCCAGCAGCTGAAACCGATACCAACCTAGCACTATAGGGATGGTCGCTAAATGCCACAGTGAGTGCGCGTCAATGATTCTCCACCATGGCGGAAAGTCAAAGACCTCGAGCAACGCTGCGGCTATCATCCCCACACCCAATATCAATGGTAGCCCTGCGTAGTCGGGCCGATAGCCCCTGTTTCTGATGAACTTGAATCGGCTAAACGGTGGGGAGGGAAGAGAGTACGCCATCCAAAGGAGGCTGTACAAAAGGCCAGCAATAATGTTTACTTTCAT